TACTTTATTTATATCCTGCCACCATCTCCCCAAGGAGACTCGGGGCGGCTTACATGAGGCTACGCCCATCAATACAGTAACACGATATAACACATGTACACAACAAAAAATAAGAAAATAAAATAACATAAAATACAGAACCATTATAAATAAACAGCACAACAATATAGAATAAGAGCATTAAAACACTAAAAATGATCACAGTGGGCATGGCCAAATTCAAAGATTAAAAATTTAAAAACACTGGGTGATAGGACAATGTAATATATCAGGACAGGGGATAAACCCATTTCAAAGCTCCTTGCTTGAGTAGTGATGACATGATCGTCAGTGTAGATTAAACTCTCTGTCCCTTCTTGCAGTTGCTGATCCTGTGTGTAAATGTTAGACAATGATGAAGTGAGCAAGCAGTCCTGAGGCAAGCCGTTCTTCCGTTTTCACCAAAACAGAAGCTACTCATTGAGGACTGGAGACTTGATGACACAAGAGACTTGTGCAGTCAACAATAACAAACAAACAAAACTTTATTTATATACCACTCTATCTCCCCAAGGGGACTCAGAGCGGTTTCCAAGTAACATAATCAATACATATAAAGAAAACAGCATAAACCTAAAATTAACAAGACAACATAAGCATTAAAAACCACAATAGCACATATATCTAAAATAATCCTGCCTGTTCAAGGCAGTTTAAAAGGCCGGGCCGGGCTAGTGCAATTTTAGAGGGCCCAGGAAATCAGGTAGAGTCTATGGCTGTACATTTCCAGGGCCTCATAGAAGAAAGCTTTGGGCTTGAGTGTTATCAGTATGCCGATGACACTCAGCTGGTGCTGAAGATGGAAGGCCGACCGGACTCTGTACCCGATTGTTTCCATCAGTGCCTCGAGGCCGTGACTGGATGGCTGCGTGCCAGCAGGTTGAGGGTGAATCCACAAAGACGGAGATCCTATGGCTGGGTCAACCGGGCAGTGGGGATATCCATCTGCCCACCCTGGATGGCGAGGCGTTACGCCCGTCATCATTGGTAAAGAGTCTGGGAGTCCTTTTGGACCTTCTGCTGACGATGGAGGCCCAGGTCTCCGCCGTGAGCAGAACCGCCTTCTTTCACCTGCAGCAGACTAGACGGCTGGCCCCCTCCCTGTCTAGGGACGACCTAGCTACGGTGATCCAGGCCACGGTCATCTCAAGACTGGACTACTGTAACGCCCTCTACATTGGCCTTCCTCTGTCGGTGATCCGGAAGCTCAAGTTGGTACAAAACGCAGCTGCTCGGCTTCTTGCGGGAATTCCGATGAGATGCCACATAACACCAATCTGACTGCAGCTGCATTGGTTATCCATTGAGCACCGGATCACTTTCAAAGGGATGGGGCTCACCTTGAAGGCCTTGCATGGTCTGGGGCCAATGTACCTGAGGGACCGCCTCACCCCCTCCCAACCCCAGAGATCCCTCCGTTCTGAGGACCAAGATCTATTGGAAATTCCCAGTGTCAAGACCTTGCGTCTAACAGCAACCAGACGCAGAGCCTTCACAGCAGTGGCACCATCACTCTGGAATACTCTGCCACCTGAAGTCCGTGCCTTGCGGGACTTACCAGCTTTCCGCAGGGCATGTAAGACATACCTGTTTCGACAGGCTTTTAATGTTTGAAATTGTTGTTTTTAAATTGTTTTAAATTGCTTTTAAATTGTGTTAGATTTTAGCCTGTTCTTGTAAGCCGCTCCGAGCCCCAGGGGAGTGGCTGCATAGAAGTTTAAATAATAAATAAATAAAATAAATAAAAAAGCGACCTGGGTAATTGGTAGAAAAAGATATGGCCAATTTCAACAGTATCTGGGGCAGAGCTAGAACTAGTCATTCTCAAAGGTTTGTTTAAACCACCAGGTCTTCAGGTTCTTACGAAAGGAGGGGAGGGATGGGCCCTGTCTTATTTCTCCAGGAAGGGCATTCCAGAGGCAGGGGGCCACCACCAAGAAGGCCGTCTCTCTCGTCCCCACCAACCATGCTTGTGACGGTGGTGGGAGCGAAAGGAAGAATTAAACCCAACAATTTATAGCCCAGTTCCTCGTTGTGCTGTTTTTTTGTGACCTGCAGTGTTTGCTGTCTTTTGTTCTCCATGTAGGAATGTGGGGTTTTCACGACAGGGACCTTGTGTTACGGAAAGCGCTCTACACCATGATGCGAAGCGGGGCCGAAAGGGAAGCGCTGAAGAGAAGGTGGAGGTGGCAGCAGACGCAGCAGAATAAAGAGGTTTGTCGAGCGCCCACGGAGAAGTGGCATTGCCATAGAATTCTTTCGGTACTTCAAGAGGCTCTTACCTTAAGGGTGCTTGAATGTTGGCAGCGTACTTTCCCCGTAATCCTGGGTCGTCTCATCCAACCCCCATGTCTGAGAGAGGAAATGTGGCTTCCAGATCTGGTCTAATTCTGGCATTTTTCATTTCGCATTTTGTTTAGATCCTAAAATATTATTATCTCATGCTATCGTTAAAGCATTTTGAATGTTCTTCATTTTTTGCAGCTTAGCTTATTGTATATTTGAAAAACGGATGAGCCGAGGCAGCCATGCATCCGGATTTCTGGGAATGACTTTGTGAAAATGTGGGTCAAGTGGACCCTTACGGTGAAGATAGAAACCAAAGCACACTTTAAATGGCATGAGTCCTATTTGCCTCCTCATTTCTCAAAACCAATTTCCTTGTCTTCTAGTCGGGGTTAGTCTACACAGAAGAGGAATGGGAGCGAGAATGGAACGAACTGCTCAAGTTGGCTTCAAGCGAACCACGCACCCATTTCAGCAAAAATGGAGGCACTGGTGGAGGGTAAGTGAATCCTCTTGTCTGGCTTTACCCTGTAATACAGGGTGCGGCAGCATAACTTCCTTTTTAAAAATGTGCGCCATTCAGTCAGTTGAAGACGTAGCGGAGCGCTAGTGGTCTCGTTCGAGTTTTGTCCCAACACAGTTCAGTCGCCATCATGTGTTGAAACAGTGAGGAGCGTGCTTTCAGTGTTGAGGCCTACTTTTTGAGCGGATGTTCTGTGATCACAACCCAGCGCGCCTTGCGGAATCGCTTTAATTTAGCCTCATTGGCCCCTGTCCCGGACCGGAAATCAATTGTGACGTGGGTCACTACATTCAGACAAACTGCAAGTGCGACAAGACGAAGAACTGGAGTCCCTTGGCCCATTAGATCACCTGAGAACATTGAGGCAGTGAGAGCTTCAGTGTTGCGATCACCACGGCATTCTGCGCGCAAACATGCATCTGCCCTTGGACTTTCTGATCGTTCTGTGTGGAGAATAATAATAATAATAATAATAATAATAATAATAATAATAATACTTTATTTGTACCCCGCTACCATCTCCCCAAGGGACACGGTGCGGCTTACATGAAGCCAAGCCCACTTACTTACTTACTTACTTAGGCAATCCCACGTTGGACGAGTAAGATGGTCTTCCATTATGGGTTTCCTTGTGGGTCCGCATGTGGCTGTGGAGCCCTATTCTTGATCTACATCTTCTCTCACAGTGAAGGCATTGGTTTCCAGGTGGAAGGCGGTCCCGGTCGGGGTTGGCTTGACGCGCCTTCCTCCTGGCACGTTTCTCTCTTTCACCCTCCACTCGTGCCTCCTCAAATTCTGCAGCACTGCTGGTCACAGCTGACCTCCAGCTGGCGGCGCTCAAGGGCCAGGGCTTCCCAGTTCTCAGTGTCTATGCCAGAGTTTTAAAGGTTGGCTTTGAGGCATAGAGCAGGGTTGGGAGGACAATAGCTTTATAAACAAGTACCTTGGTATCCCTACAGATGTCCTGGTCCTCAAACACTCTGCTTCATTCGGAAAAATGCTGCACTCGCAGAGCTCAGGCGGTGTTGTATTTCAGTGTCAATGTTGACTTTGTGGAGAGGTGGCTGCCAAGGAGTGGAAATGGTCAAAATTTTCTAATGCTACATCATTAAGCTGTATCTCTGGCATTGGGGAGGGGGTGGCTGGTGACTGCTGGAACAGCACTTTGGTTTTCTCGATGTTCAGTGACAGGCCGAGCTTCCTGTATGCTTCTGCGAAAGTGTTTAGAGTGGCTTGTAGATCTTCTTCTGTATGCGCACAGATGACATTGTCATCAGCATACTGGAGTTCTATAACAGATTGTAACTTTGGTTTTGGCTTTCAGTCTGCTGAGGTTAAACAACTTGCCATCTGTGCCGATAGATGATTTCCACTCCGGTGGGAAGCTTCCCATCAACAAGATGAAGTATCATAGCGATGAAGATGGAGAATAGGGTTGGGGCAATAACACATCCTTGTTTGACACCCGATTCCACTTTGGGAGCCATTGCTGTCCAGGACTGTTGCCATCATGTCATCATGGAGGAGCCGCAGGATGTTCACAAATTTGTTAGGACACCCGATTTTGTGGAGGATGGTCCAGAGAGCGCTGCGATTCACTGTGTCAAATGCCTTTGCAAGGTCAATGAATGCCATGTACAGAGGTTGGTTTTGTTCCCTGCATTTTTCTTGGAGCTGTCGTGCAGTGAAGATCATGTCCATGGTTCCTCTGGAGGGGCAGAAGCCATTCTGGGATTCTGGGAGGGTGTCTTCTGAGAGGGGTAGAAGGCGGTTTGCATGGATTCTTGCGAGGATTTTCCCAGCTGAGGTTAGAAGGGAGATACCTCGATAGTTTTTGCAGTCTGTTCTTTCCCCTTTTTTGAAGAGGGTGATGATGGTGGCATCCTTGAAATCTGCTGGGATTTTCTCGGTCACCCACACTTTTACTATGAGCTGGTGGAGGTCCTCCCTCTTAAGAATTTCAGCAGGGATCCCATCCGGTCCGCTGGCTTTGTTATTCTTCTGTTGGCTGATGGCATTGCTGACTTCTTCCAAACTAGGCAGTGCTGCAAGCTCATCCCTGGTTTGTTGTTGTGGGATTTGTGAGAGGACCTCTTCGGCCACATTGGAGCTGTGGTTCAGGAGGCTTTGGTAGTGTTCTTTCCAACGTAGTGCAATTGAGTTTTGGTCCTTCAGGAGTTTGGTTCCATCTGATGAGCGTAGAGGCTGTATGCCATGGTTTCTTGGTCCATAGATGACCTTTGTGGCTTTGAAAAATCCCTGAGCATCATGGGTATCTGCCAGGTGTTGGATTTCTTCAGCCTTCTTTGTCCACCAGATGTTCTTGAGTTCTCTTGTCCTTCTTTGGACCTCAGCTTTTGCACTGGCATAGATCTTTTTCTTAGCAACACAGTTGATGTCTCTCTGCCATGCTTGGAAGGCTTTCCTTTTCTTGTCAATTAGCTGTTGGATCTCGATGTCATTTTCATCAAACCAGTCTTGATGTTTCTTGGCTTGGTATCTAATAGTTTCTTCGCAGGCTTGGATGATGGAGGTCTTCAGTTTGTTCCAATGTTCCTCGACATTTTCGGGGTGTACTGTGGGTAGATGGTCCTTGAGTGTTGTTTGGAGATGGGCTCATCTGGGCTCAAGCCCACAATACATCAATAAACAAAACATCAATAAAACAATCAATACAATACAATTCATATAAATCACATAAACAAAAAATAAGCAATCAACAATCAACAGTGACATAAAAGCATTTAAAACCAATGGCCAGGCCAATTGTAATAGATTAAAATTTAAAAATATGCTGACGTGAACAAGGTAGGAGATAACTGGGATAGGATTTTCAGAGAGAACTGAGGGAACGCAGTCAGTCCTAAATCCGTGGTAAAGTGCGTTTTGAGGGCATATTGCTAAGAGTTTTCCTTATTCTGGGAAGGCACACTGGAACAACCACTTTTTCAGGCTCCTCCTAAAGTGCCAGAGTTGGGTCATGTCTGATGTCCCTTGGAAGTGAGTTCCAGAGTTGAGGGGCCACCACCGAGAAGGCCCTCTCCCTCGTCCCCACCAATCGCGCCTGGGAAGGAGGTGGGATCGCGAGCAGGGCCTCTCCAGATGATCGAAGAGATCGTGTGGGTTCTTACACAGAAATGCAGTCACGCAGATAGGCGGGTCCCAAACCGTTCAGGGCTTTGTAGGTAAGAACCTGCACTTTGAATTGGGACCGGAAAATGAATGGCAGAATTCTTCATGAGGATCTTCATTTCCATCCTTACATGATGGCAATTGTGCAGGAACTTTCTGAACGTGACTTCAATTCTCGGAGGAACGCGTACGAGGTTCTTCTCGAAGTCGTTCCTGAGGACGCTATTGTTTTTTTTAGTGATGAAGCCATTTTCATTTGTGTGGATCCGTCAACAAGCAAAACATGCGCTACTGGGCTGACAACAATCCTCGAGAATGGCATCCAAGGCCTTTGCATTCACCTAAAATCACAGTGTGGTGTGCCATTTCCTCAGCTGGAATTATTGGTCCCTGGTTCTTTGAGGAAAATGAAGTCGCAGTGACAGTGAATTTGGACTGGTATGTAAACATGTTACAGGAATTTTTTTCCCCACGGCTAGATGGGTTGGACTTAGGGGACATTTGGTTCCAACAAGATGGTGCAACTGCACACACTTCAAGAGCATCGATGGCTGTTTTGAGGGAACACTTCCCAGAGCGCCTCATCTCAATTAGGGGGGATTTGGAGTGGCCGGCCCGCTCTCCAGATTTGGCCCCTTGTGATTTTTTTCTATGGGGTTTTTGAAATCCCGTGTTTATGTGAACCGTCCAAGGACCCTACAAGATTTGAAGACCTACTCACATTTGCATGTTTTCGAATTGCTAAGATCATAGAATCATAGAATCCTAGAGTTGGAAGAGACCTCCTGGGCCATCCAGTCCAACCCCATTCTGCCAAGAAGCAGGAATATTGCATTCAAATCACCCTGACAGATGGCCATCCAGCCTCTGTTTAAAAGCTTCCAAAGAAGGAGCCTCCACCACACTCCGGGGCAGAGAGTTCCACTGCTGAACGGCTCTCACAGTCAGGAAGTTCTTCCTTGTGTTCAGATGGAATCTCCTTTCTTGTAGTTTGAAGCCATTGTTCCTGCGTCCTAGTCTCCAGGGAAGCAGAAAACAAGCTTGCTCCCTCCTCCCTGTGGCTTCCTCTCACATATTTATACATGGCTATCATATCTCCCCTCAGCCTTCTCTTCTTCAGGCTAAACATGCCCAGCTCCTTAAGCCGCTCCTCATAGGGCTTGTTCTCCAGACCCTTGATCATTTTAGTCGCCCTCCTCTGGACACATTCCAGCTTGTCAATATCTCTCTTGAATTGTGGTGCCCAGAATTGGACACAATATTCCAGGTGTGGTCTAACCAAAGCAGAATAGAGCATGGGGAGCATGACTTCCCTAGATCTAGACACTAGGCTCCTATTGATGCAGGCCAAAATCCCATTGGCTTTTTTTGCCGCCACATCACATTCCTGGTTCATGTTTAACTTGTTGTCCACGAGGACTCCAAGATCTTTTTCACATGTACTGCTCTCGAGCCAGGCCTCATCGTCCCCCATTTTGTATCTTTGCATTTCGTTTTTCCTGCCAATGTGGAGTATCTTGCATTTGTCACCGTTGAACTTCATTTTGTTAGTCTGTCACGACAGACACCAGAAATTGGTTTACTCAGTGTATGGAGAATGGGGGACGTTACCTATTTAATTTGATCTTCAAAACTACGTAAAACAAAACTTTAGGTATGCGCCTACATTATATAAAAAAATTCTGATTCATACAATGGGTTTTATTAAGTTTTGAAAAAAGGAAGTTATGCTGCTGCTCCCTGTATAATTTAATACAGAACAGAAATGTTTGGTTACACAAAATCCTGTAAACAGAAATGTGTTTGGAATAGGAACGGTGTTGTGGCTTGTGAATGCTAAGCTT